ATCGTGCGTTTTTTTTTTTAAATAATAATATAGCGTCCATTAGTATTTAAAAAAAAAATAAAGCGTTAAGAGGTCATTTGTGAAAAATCGCCTGAGGATACCGTAAAGTTGAAACCAAAGGTAGCGGAATCATCTGACCTCCTGATTTTTAAAGTTTAAACACACACACACACACACACACACACACACACACACACACACACATATATATATATATATATATATATATATAATTATTTATTCGAAAATTATAACATAAATATGATATAAAATCACTACAAAAATAGTCATTTTGTTTCAACGAGTCTGTTGAGGACAAATTGCACACTGACATTTTCTTCAAATTGTTCATGTATTTTTCGTAGATCGACAAAAAATACCTTTTCAGTTTCTTGATCGAACTCTTTGATATAAGCGGAAGTCAACTGGTTTGAAACTGCGTTTTCTTTCCTTCTTTATGTAACTGTTATAAACTATAAAAGCCTGGGTCCGGCTGAAAGACTCTAAAAGGAAACGGAAGTTAGAAAGAAAAACGCCCGTCATTGTGACCACTAATCCATGGGAACTTCCTGTTTGGCTTTTCAACATCGAAGCAAATAAAACGGATGGGTTTTGTTGATATAAATAAACAAGGAAGTCCATCAGGAACATTAGAAGACAGAAAAAAAAAGGTTCGTATGCACATTTTGTTCTGTCAGTCTATGTGCTTGCACCCATTTATCTGTCAGTCTGTCTATTGATCTATCTATTTACATTTTCTCCACTATTTATTCTTCCTCATTCGTTTCTCTCTTTTCTCTCTCACATTAATTACTTCATTCTCCCACTTCTCTCTCTGTTTCTCCACCTACCCCCTTCTACTTCCTCATACTCCTCTTTTTTTCTCTTTGCATCTTCCCACCCCTGTTGCTTCTTCTTCCTCTTTCTCTTTCACTTCCGGAGCTTACGATCAAATCACATTGAAACTACCGGTTACCGCACGATCAGCGAGGTTAAGCAACGTCGAGCCTGGTCAATGTGTTACGGGATACTATTCTGTTTGGGTAAAAATAACTCACCATTATCTTGTGGGCATCACCTCTTTGGATGTGATGTACATAGACATTTTATATTAAATATTTATGGACTCATCGAATATTTGTCCCACAAACAATATTGGCGGATTCATGTGAGTCCGAGTAAAAATAAGTAAACAAAAAAAAATAATTTAAAACAAACGGCAGTTAGTATCTGTCTATATTTCTGAGATGAGGTATTATGTACATTATTTACATTATTCCGACTATTGTCCTCATCTTTGTCGCCATGTTTATTACAACGTTTCGGCCCTTCAGTATCTGTCTATATTTCTGAGATGAGGTATTATGTACACTATTTACATTATTCGGACTATTGTCCTCATCTTTGTCGCCATGTTTATTACAACGTTTCGGCCCTTCAGTATCTGTCTATATTTCTGAAATGAGGTATTATTATTTACATTATTCGGTCTATTATCCTCATTTTTATCATTATTCAGACTATTGTCCTCATCTTTGTCGCCATGTTTATTATCAACGTTTCCAGCCCTTCAGTATCTTTGTCTTGATCTTTCTGGGTAAATAAACCTAATATCTTCAGAAACCTTTTTAACAGTGCTCATATTGCAATTTTGTGTTATCATTGTATGTTTTTTTACTGGATCTCATTTACATTATTTGGTCTATTATCCTCATATTTGTCGCAATATTTTGTACCCTATTGTGCTGATTCAACGTTTTCCAATGCTCAAACTGATCCCTTTTATATGTCAATGATCGTAAATGCATGTATTAACAAAAAGTATTTACTGTCAAGCTTCATGGTGGTTTTGAAAATATGTGTGTATGTGTGCATGAACTGACACCCTTTATCTATCTTCATCTCAATTGGAGTAATATTGAGCCTGTTCTAGTTCTAGATGGGTGGCTGCTTGAGAAAACCAAGTGCTGTAAGTTTGAATGTGCGGTTGGTGCATAATGCTTGTTTGGAATGGATATTCAGACGGGTTCGTATCCACTTTATGCCTTAACATGGACCAGGTGGGGTGTTTCAGTAAAATCATGGATTTTCTTCCTCTTGCCCCCAACTCCAACTGTTTTTCTTCCTCTTTCTTCTCTCTCTACCCTCCAACTCCAACTGGATCTTCCTCTTTCTTCTCTCTCTTGCCTCCAACAATTGTTTCTTCTTCCTTTATTCAACTGTTTCTTCTTCCTCTTTTAAATATCTCTCTTGCCTCCATGTGTTTCTTGAAGATTCTTCTCTCTCTTGCCTCATCCAACTGTTTCTTCTTCCTCTTTCATCTCTCTTTGCCTCCAACTGATTTTCTCTCTCTGCCTCAACTCCAACTGTTTCTTCTTATAAACTTCTTCCTAATGATTCTTCTCTCTTTACCTCAACTCAAACTTCCTCTTTTTCTCTCTCTTGCCTCCAACTCCAACTGATTCTTCTCTCTCTTGCCTCAACTCCAACTGTTTCTTCTTCCTCTTTCTTCTCTCTCTTGCCTCAACTCCAACTGTTTCTTCTTCCTCTTTCATCTCTCTCTTGCCTCCAACTCCAACTGATTCTTCTCTCTCTTGCCTCAACTCCAACTGTTTCTTCTTCCTCTTAACTCCAACTCAACTTTTCTTCTTCCTCTTTCTTCTCTCTTTGCCTCCAACTCCAACAGTTTCATTCCTCTTTCTTCTCTCTCTTGCCTCCATCCAACTGATTCTTCTCTCTTGCCTCCAACTCCAACTTTTTTCCTTCACTTGATCTCCATGTTTCTTCTTCCTCTTTCTTCTCTCTCTTCCCTCCAAATCCAACTGTGTCTTCTTTCTCTTTCTTCTCTCTCTTGCCTCCAAGTCCAACTGTTTCTTCTTCCTCTTTCTTCTCTCTCTGCCTCCAACTCCAACTGATTCTTTCTTTTCTCCAACTCCAACTGTTTTATTCCTCTTGCCTCCAACTCCAACTTTTCTTCTTCCTCTTTCTTCTTCTCTTTCCTTCCAACTGGTTTTTTCTTCTCTTTCTTCTCTCTTGCCTCCAACTTTCTTCCTCTTTCTTCTCTCTCTTGCCTCAACTCCAACTGTTTCATCTTTTCTTTCTTTTCTATTGCCTCCAACTCCAACTGTTTCTGCTTCCCCTTTCTTCTCTCTCTTGCCTCCAACTCCAACTGATTCTTCTCTCTCTTGCCTCCAACTCCTACTGTTTTTCTTCCTCTTGCCTCCAACTCCAACTGTTTCTTCTTCCTCTTTCTTCTCTCTCTTGCCTCCAACTCCAACTGTTTCTTCTTTCTCTTTCTTCTCTCTCTTGCCTCCAAATCCAACTTTTCTTCTCTCTCTTGCTGAACTGTTTCTTTCTTTTCAGCCTCCTGATCCAACTGTTTTCTTCTTTGTCTTTCTTCTTCTCTGTTGCCACTCCTCTAATTGTTTTTTTCCCTCTTCTTCCTCTTTCCCTTGTTTATTTTTTCTGAATACGGAAGTTAAAAGATAAAAGAAAAGAATCGTGTTAAATAAAAGTAAACAAACCAATATTCAATAGAAAAAAAAAGAAAACGGAAACATTCAAAGTAAGAAGTGTAATGACAGGTAAAATGGACTTGACCTATTTTACATAAGAATCCAGCGACCACTAAGTCATTCATCACTGAGTAGGTGGAGAATTTATACGTCACAGACTAGAAGATTTCACAACAATATAGCGTTGCCGATAGGCTTCCTAATATTGGATGAACCTGGACTTTGTGAAAACATAGCTTAGTTGTTTTGAAGCTCATGCGCAGGCCAATACGTTAAAAGACCTCGAAAGCGCAGGAAGGGAGAACTATATTACAGATCTCTTTTTGCGACCGAAAAAAGTTTATCGAAATTAATGTGTGTATGTAGTCTATACTGCTATTTTATATAGTGGGTAGGAAAAGAGTTCAAATTTCAAGAGAGAAATGCAAGATGAATCCGACTAGACGAACTCGCCATCGTTCCTCACTCCGAGGTAAATCCATTACTTTTAGATTTTATCTATAGGCATCTATGAACGACACTTCATCTAGAAGACAAAATTAAAAAAGGACCTCCAATCGATGAAGGGAATTGTTTTAACCTCAAAAACAACTTTTATTAATCAGAGAACCATCCCTAAAGATGTCTCCCTCTAAGAGGCGTTTTCTCACATTGTCTGTGAAAAACAAATACATTGAGCCAATAACTTCGTCCACCGAAGGAAAGTTGGCCCTGTGCCCGCTTTTTCTCCCCGAATCGATCTTTCAAAACAAATCAACAATTCCTTCCTTGCATGGAGTTTGAATATGGTCTGGAGCCCCTGTTTGTCTCAATAAAATCCAGAGGGATATGCAATGAAATTGGCCCCTGATCTGGCATCTCATCTGCAGTCGCTCTCTCACAGAGGGGTGGCCTCCCTCTGTCTTTTTTAAAATCTTTCTGGTAACTGCTCCGATGAGCTGCTTTCGCTGGTTCCCAGACTTCATGAATTTAAGCGTTCAACCTAGGCTGGCAACTCGTTCTCACCTTTTCACTGTCGAAACTTCTTAAATGTAGCTGTCTCTTCTACGCACCTCTCGCCTAACTTCCTTTTCTTGTTTCCCCTGAAGCTATAATCTCCAACTATTGAAATGAAAAATAGACGTCTCCAGATGCCTTGATCTATCCCTATCCTTCTCTTCATCCTTTCCTCTATCACTCCCTTTGGTCTCTCTTCCCTTTTTGATCTTCACATATGTGAAAGGAATTGATTTATCAGACTAAAAGTTCAAACATAGACTATTAGAAAGATCAAAAGGTTCAAAAGATAAAATGTTGCATTGCATTGAAATAGATATATAAATCGTCTTGTATTTCAAACCTTACAGGATCTGGTATTAAGCAAGAATTCATGTAGAATAAAAAAGAAACAAATGGAGTGATTGTTCTGGGGGGAGGGAAAACCCTAAAAGTGATAATAGACAGGTAAACTATAAAGAAAGGTCGTCCTCTTGCCTCCAACTCCAAATGTTTCTTCTTCAACTCCAAATGTTTTTTTTCTCTTCCTCCAACTCTTCTTCTTCTCTTTTCTTCTTTCTCTCTCTTGCCTCTAACTCCAAATGTTTCTTCTTCCTCTTTCTTCTTTCTCTTTCCTCCAACTCCTTCTTTTCTCTTGCCTCCAACTCCAAATGTTTCTTCTTCCTCTTTCTTCTCTCTCTTTTCCTCCAACTCTTTTCTTCTTCTCTTTCTTCTCTCTCTTTCCTCCAACTCCAAATGTTTCTTCTTCCTCTTTCTTCTCTCTTTTCCTCCAACTCCAACTCTTCTTTTTCTTCTTCCAACTCCAAATGTTTTCTTCTTCCTCTTTCTTCTCTCTCTTGCCTCCAACTCCAACTTTTTCTTCTTCCTCTTTCTTCTCTTTCTTTTCCTCCAACTCCAAATGTTTCTTCTTCATCTCTTTTCTTCTTTCTCTTGCCTCCAACTCCAAATGTTTCTTCTCCTCATTCTTCTCTTGCCTCCAACTCCAAATTTCTTCTTCTTCCTCTTCTTTTTTGCCTCCAACTCCAAATGTTTCTTCTTCCTCTTTCTTCTCTCTCTTTCCTCCAACTCCAAATGTTTCTTCTTCCTCTTTCTTCTCTCTCTTTCCTCCAACTCCAAATGTTTCTTCTTCCTCTTTCTTCTCTCTCTTTCCTCCAACTCCAAATGTTTCCTTCCAACTCCAAATGTTTCTTCTTTCTCTTGCTTCTCTTCCAAATTTTCTTCTTCCTCTTTCTTGCCTTCCTCCAACTCCAAATGTTTCTTCTTCATTTTCTTTTTTCCACAACTCTTTTTCTTCTTTCTTGCTTCCAACTCCAAATGTTTCAACTCCAAATGTTTTTCTTCCTCTTCTTTCTCTTTCCTCCAACTCAAATGTTTCTTCTTTTTCCACTTTCTTCTTCCTTTTCTCTTCTCCTCCAACTCCAAATGTTTCTTCTTTGTTTCTTCTTTCTTTTCTTCTCTCCAAATTCCTCCAACTCCAAATTTCCCTCCTCTAATTGTTTTTTTTTCCTCCAACTTCTTCTTCTTTCTTTCCTTGTTTATTTTTTCTTTCTTCTACTCTTTAAAAATAAAGAACTCCAAATGTTTCTTCTTTCTTTTTGCCTCCAACTCCAAATGTTTCTTCTCTTTCTTCTCTCTTTCCTCCAACTCAAAATGTTTCTAAATCCAACTCCAAAACAAACTCCAAATATTTCAATTCCTCTTTCTTCTTTCTCTTTCCTCCTCAAAAAAAATGAAAAACTTCCTCTTTCATTCTTTAAGTCCAAATGTTTCTTCTTTCTCTTGCCTCCAACTCCAACTCAAATGACAGGTTTCTTCTCTCTCTTTCCTCCAAAATGGATTCTTTCTCTTGACCTATTTTACATAAGAATCCAAATGACCACTAAGTCATTCATTCTCTGAGTTCCTCCAACTCCAAAATTTATTCGTCTCAGAACTCAGAAGATTTCACAACAATATAGCGTTGCTTCTTCCTCTTTTTCTAATCCAAATGGATTTTCCTGGACTTTGTGAAAAACATAGCTTAGTTGTTTTTTCTTCCTCTTTCTTCTTTCTCTTTTCTTCTTCTCTTGCTCAACTCCGTTTTTTTCTTCCTCTTTCTTCTCTCTTTCCTTTCTCCCAATACGTTAAAAAGACCTTCCTCCAACTCTTCTACTCCAAATGTTTCTTCTTCTTTTCTCTTTTCTTTCTCCAATCTTTCTTCCAACACCAAATGACTTTTCTCTTGCCTCCAACTCAAATCTTTTTCTTTCCGAAAAGTTATCGATAATTAATTCTTTCCTAAAATGTTTTTCTTTCTTTTTCTCTTCTCCAACTCCAATGTTTCACTCAAACTCGATAGTCTATACTGCTATTTTACCTCCAAGTCCAACTGGGTAGGAAAAGAAGATTCATCCTCTTTCCCAAGAGTATTAGCACAAATGCAAATGTTTCTTCCTTGCCTTCTTTCTTTCTCTTTCCTCTCTCTTTCCCAAACTTCTTCCTCTTGAACTCCAAATGTTTCTTCTTCCTTTTTCTTCTTCTTCCTCTTTCTTCTCGGTCTTCTCTTTCTTCTTTTTCTTTTCCTCTTCCTCAAATCTTTTCTTCTTTCTCTTTCCTCCAACTCCAATTTTCTTCTTCCTCTTTCTTCTCTCTCTTTCCTTTCAACCATTCTCTTTCCAACTTTCTTCTTCCTCTCTTTCTTCTTTCCTCCAACTCCAAATGTTTCTTTTTCTTCTTCCTCTTTCTTTTCCTCTCGCAAATGTTTTCATTTCATTGCCTCCAACTCACTTCCTAGGATTTTCTTCTTTTCTTCTTTTTTTTCTTTTCTTTGTTCCTCCAAATCAAAAAAAGTAACTCAAAATGTTTTTCTTCCTTCTTCTTCTCTCTTTTCTCCAACTCCAAATTTTCTTCTTCTTTCTCTTGCCTCCAACTCTTCAAATGTTTCTTCTTCTCTTTTTCTTCTTTTCTTCTCTTTCATCTCCAAATGTTTCTTCTTTCTCTTTTCTTTTCTTTTTCCAACTTTAATGTTTCTTCTTCCTCTTTCTCTCTCTCTTTCCTCCAACTTTTCCTTCTTTCTCTTTCCTCCAAAAATGATTCTTCTTCTTTCTTCTTCTCTTTTCTCCAACTCCAAATTGTCGCTTTTTCTTGACAAAACTTTCTTCTTCCTCTTTCTGGCCATTCGTCTCCAAATGTTTCTTCTTCCTCCTTCTTCTCTTTCCTCCAATCGATTGTGAACTTCTTTCTCTTCCTCCAACTCCAAATCCAGGTTCTTCCTCTTTTCTTCTTTCTCTTTCCTCCAAGTTTTTCTTCCTCTTTCTTCTTTCTCTCTTCCTCCAACTCCAAATTTTCTTCTTTCTCTTCCTTCTTCAAATGTTCTTAAATCTTTAATGCCTCAAAAATGTTTCTTCTTTTTTCTTCTTTCTCTTGCCTCCAACTGTTTCTTCTTCCTCTTTTCTTCTCTCTTTCCTCCAACTCAAAATGTTTCTTCTTTCTCTTTGCCTCCAACTCCAAATGTTTCTTCTTCCTCTTTCTTCTTTCTCTTTTCTTTGTCCTCTTTCCTTCCTCTTCCTCTTTCTCCAACTTTCCTCATCCTCCAACAATGTTTTCTCTCTTTCTTCTTCTTCTTCTCTTTCCTCCAACTCAAAATGTTTCTTCTTTCTTTTGCCTCTCTTTTTCTTCTTCCTCTTTCTTCAACTTTCGTCCTCTTTCTTTCTCTCTTTTTGTTCATGTTCTGGAGCTCCAATTGTTTCTTCTTTCTCTTCTTTCAAATCTTTCTTCTTCCTCTTTCTTTCTTTCTTTCAACTCCAAATTTTTCTTCTTCCTCTTTCTTTTTCAAATCTTTTTCTTCTTTCTCTTTATTTCCAATAAATTTTCTTCTTTTTTTCTTCTTTCTCTTTCCACCGCAATGAAAAGTTGGCTCTCTCCTTCTCATCCAAATATTTCTTCTTTCTCTTCCTCTTTGTTTTCTCTTTTTTCTTTATCATTCCTTTTCCTCCCTTCATGAATCGATCTTTTTTTTCTCTCTCTTCAATCTACTTTTTAAATCAACTTTCTTTTCTCTTTCTTTTTTCTTTTTGTTTGGATCTGCATGAGTTTCTTTCTTTCTTTCTCCATGTCATATGTTCTTCCTTTTCTTCTTCCTCTCAAATTTGTTGTTCTATCTTTCTTCTTCCTCTTTCTTCTTTCTCTTTCCTCAATCTAAATGTTCTTCTTTCTCTTCCTCCAACTGGTTTCTTCTTCCTTCTTTCTTTCTCTTTTCCTCCAACTCAAATATTTGCAAATGAAATTGGCCCTGATCTGCATCTTCCTCTTTCTTCTCTCTCTTTCCTCCAATCTCAAAATGTTTTCTTTCCTCTCTCTTTCTTTTCTTCTTCCTCTTTTTCTCTCTTTGTGTTTCTTTTTTCTACAAATACTTTCATGGTTCTTTCTCTTGATGAGTTGCTTCGCTGTTTCTTTTTCCTCTTTCTTCTCTCTTTTTCCTCAACTCAAATGTTTTCTTCTTTCTCTTTCCTCTTTTTTTCAATCAAATTTCTTCTTTCTTTCAAAATGTTTCTTCTTTCTCTTTCTTCTCTCTCACTTTCTCTTGACTCCAACTCACTCTCTTCCTTTTTCTCTTGCCTCGAACTCAAACTTCCTCTTTCTTCTCTCTTCCTCCAAACTCCTTTTCTTTCTTTCTCTTCCTCCAACTCTACTTCTTTCTTTGGTCTCCTCCAATGTTTCTTCTTTCTCTTGCCTCCAACTCCAAATGTTTCTGTTTCCTCCAACTCAAAATCTTTTCTTTTTTTCTTCTTCTCTCAACTATTGAAATGTTTCTTTTTTTCAATTCTTCTCTCTCCAGAAATTTCTTGTTCTCTCTTTCTAATCCTTTCTTCTTTCTTCATCCTTTCCTTTCTTCACTTTCTCTTTGAAAAATAAACTTCTCCTCTTTCTTCTTTCTCTTTCTTCTCTCTCTTTTTTGTCTTTTCTAGTGGCTCTTTCCTCCAACTTTTTCTTCTTCCTCTTTCTTCTTTTCTCTCTTTTATTCTGAAACTTTCTTCCTCTTTCCTCAAATCAAATTCTTCTTCATCTTTCTTCTTTCTCTTTCCTCAACTCTTTGTTCAAATTTTTCTTCTTCCCTCTTTCTTTTTTCTCTTCTCTTTCTTTGAAATAGAAACTCAAACTCAACTTCTTTCTCTTGCCTCCAACTTCTTTTTGTTTCTTCTTCCTCTTTCTTCTTCTCTTTCCTCCAACTCCAAAAGTTCTCTTCTTCTCTTGCCTATCCAAATGACTAAAATTCTTCTTTGTTCTTCTTCAAACCTCCAAAAAAAGAAACTCCAAATGTTTTCTTCTTCCTCTTTTCTTTTCTTCTTCCTCCAAAAATTTTTCAAAATTCCTCCATAAAATGTTTCTTCTTTGCTCTTTTTTTCCAATAATAAATGTTTCTTTTCCTCTTTTCTTCTGTTTCTTCTTTCTCTTTCCTTCTCTCTTCTTTCCTCCAACTTTCAACAGTTTCTTCTTTCTCTTTCCTCCAATGTTTCTTTCTTCCTCCAACTCCAAATTTTTTCCTTCCTCTTTCAAGAACTCTAAAGAATTTCTCTTTCCTCCAACTCCATTTTTTTTCTTCTCTTGCCTCCAATCCAAAACTCTCTCTTTCCTCTTTCCAAATGTTTCTTCTTTCTCTTTCCTCCAACTCCAAATGGATCTTTCCTCCAACTTGTTTTTTTCTTCCTCTTTCTTCTTCTCTTTTTTCCTTCTTCCAATGTTTCTTCTTTCTCTTTTTTCTCCAACTCCAAATGTTTTTTCTTCCTCTTTCTTCTCTCTCTTTCCTTCCAAATTTTCTTCTTTCTCTTTCTTCTTTCTCTTTCTTTCCTCTAAAAATTTTCTCTCTTCTCTGTTTCTTCTTTTCTTCTTCTCTTCTTTCTCTCTTTTCTTTTCTTCTTCCTCTTTCTTCTTTCTGTCGTCCTTCCTTTTTCTTCTTTCTCTCCTTTTCTCCAAATGTTTCTTCTTCCTCTTTCTTCTTTCTCTTTCTTTCATCCAACTTTCTTCTTTCTCTTTCCTCCAACTCCAAATGTTTCTTCTTCTTTTTTCTACTTTCTTCTTCTTTTTTCTCTCTAACTCCAACTCCAACTCCAAATGTTTCTTCTTCCTCTTTCTTTCTCTTTCATCCAACTCCAAATGTTTCTTCTTCCTTTCTTTCTCTCTTTCTCCAACTTTCTTCTTTCCTCTCCAACTCCAAATGTTTTCTTCTTTTCTTCTTTGCCTCCAACTCCAAACTTTCTTCTTCTCTTTCTTCTTTCTTTCTCCAACTCCAAATGTTTCTCCTCTTTTCTTCTCTTTCTCCAACTCCAAATGTTTCTTCTTTCTTTTTGCCTCCAACTCAAATGTTTCTTCTTCCTCTTTCTTCTCTCTCTTTCCTCCAACTCCAAATTTTTCTTCTTTCTCTTTCTTCTCTCTCTTTCCTCCAACACCAAATGTTTCTTCTTTCTTTGTCTTCAAAATTTTCTTCTTCTCTCTTTCCTCCAACTCCAAAATTTTTCTTCTTCCTCTTTCTTCTTTCTCTTTTCTCCAAATGTTTCTTTTTTCTCTTGCCTTCTTCTCCAAATCTTTCTTCAACACCTTCTTCTTTCTTCTCTCTCTTTTCTCCAACTCCAAATGTTTCTTCCTTTTCTTCTTTTCGCCTCCAACTCCAAATGTTTCTTCTTCTTCTTTCTTCTCTCTTTCTTCAACTCCAAATGTTTCTTCTTCTTTTCTTTCTTTTCCTCCAACTCCAAATGTTTCTTCTTCCTCTTTCTTCTCTCTCTTTTCTCCAACTCCAAATGTTTCTTCTTTCCTCTTTGTTTCTTCTTTCTTCTTCTCTTCCAAATGTTTCTTCTTTCTTTCTTCTTTCTTTCTTTCTCCAACTCCAAATGTTTCTTTCTTCTCTCTTTCCTCCAACTCTCTTTCCTTTTTTTCTTTTCTTTTCTCTCCAACTGTGTTCTTCCTCCAACTTTCCAAATGTTTTTTCTTCCTTTTCTTCTCTCTTTCCTCCCAACTCCAAATTTTCTTCTTCCTCTTTCTTTCTCTTTTTTTCCAACACCAAATATTTCTTCTTCTCTTTCTTCTCTCTCTCCTCCAACTCAAATGTTTCTTCTTCTTCTTTTCTTCTTTCTCTTGCCTCTCTCAAAATGTTTCTTCTTTCTCTTGCCTCCAACTTTTCTTCTTCCTCTTTCTTCTTTCTCTTGCCTCTTTGTTTTTCCAACTCCAAATGTTCTTCTTTCTCTTGTCCTCTTTCTTCCTCTTTCTCTCTCTCTTTCCTCCAACTCCAACTCCAAATGTTTTCTTCTTCCTCTTTCTTCTTGTCTTGCTCCAACTCCAAATGTTTCTTCTTCCTCTTCTCTTTCTTCCAACTTTCTATCTTCTTCTCATGCCTCCAACTCCAAATGTTTCTTCTTTCTCTTCCTCCTTCAAATGTTTCTTTCTTCTTTTCTCTTTCCTCCAACTCCAAATGTTTCTTCTTTCTCTTCTCTCTCTCTCTTTCCAAATGTTTCTTCTCTCTCTCTTCTTCTCCTTCTCTCCAAATTTTTTCTTCTTTCTCTTTCTTCTCTCTTTCCTCCAACTCCAAATGTTTCTTCTTCCTCTTTCTTCTCTCCAACTTGTTTCTTCTCTCTTTCCTCCAACTCCAAATGTTTCTTCTTTCACTTGCCTCCAACTCCAAATGTTTCTTCTTCTCTTTTTCTTCATTCTTCCTCTTTCTTCTTTCTGTCTCCAAACTCCAAATGTTTCTTCTTTCTCTTGCCTCCAACTTTCTTCTTTCTTCTTCCTTTCAACTCTCAAATCCAAAAAGTTTCTTCTTCTCTTGCTTCCAATTTTCCTCTTTCTTCTTTCCTCCAACAAATTGTCTTCTTTCTTTTTTTCTTCTTCTTCTTCTTTCTTTTCTTTCTCTTTCCTCCAACTCCAAATCTTTTCTTCTTTCTCTTGTGTTTCTTCTTCTTTCTCTTGCCTCTTTCTTCTCTCTCTTTCCTCTCCAAATGTTTCTTCTTCCCTCTTTTCTTCCTCTTTCTTCTTTCCTCCAACTCCAAATTTTCTTCTTTCTCTTTCTTCTCTCTCTCTTTTTCTTCTTCTCTCTCTTCCTCCAACTCAAAATGTTTCTTCTTTTCTTCTTTTTCTTCCTCTTTCTTCTTTCTTTTCCTCCAACTCAAATGTTTCAAATGTTTCTTCTTTCTCTTGCCTCCAACTCCAAATGTTTCTTCTTCCTCTCTTTCTTCCAAATGTTTCTTCTTCTTTTCCAACTCCAAATTCTTCTTCCTTGCCTCAAAAATGTTTCTTTTTCCTTTTCTTCTTTCCTCCAACTCCAAATTTTTTCTTCCTTTTCTTCTCTTCTTTCTCTTTCTTTCTCTCCAACTCCAAATGTTTCTTCTTCCTCTTTTCTTTCTCTCTTTCCTCCAACTCCAAATGTTTCTTCTTCTCTCTCTCTTGCCTCCTCTCTTTCCTCCAACTCCAAATGTTTCTTCTTTCCCTTGCCTCCAAAATGTTTCTTCTTCCTTTTCTTCTCTCTTTCCTCCAACTCCAAATCTTTTTCTTCCTCTTTCTCTTCTCTTTTCTCCAACTCCAAATGTTTCTTCTTCCAACTCCAAATGTTTCTTCTTCCTCTTTCTTCTCTCTTTCCTCCAACTCAAATTTTCTTCTTTTTCTTTCTTCTCTTTCCTCCAACTCCAAATGTTTTCTTCCTCTTTCTTCTCTCTTTCCTCCAACTCCAAATGTTCTTCTTCTTTTTCTCTTTTCCTCCAACTCCAAATGTTTCTTCTTCCTCTTTCTTCTCTCTTTTTTCCCAAATCCAACTCTTCTTTCTTTGCCTCCAACTTGTTTCTTCTTTCTCTTGCCTTCAACTCCAAATGTTTCTTCTTCCTCTTTCTTCTCTCTCTTCCTCCAACTCAAAATGTTTTCTTCTTCTTTCTTCTTTCTCTTCCTCCTCCAAATGTTTCTTCCTCTTGTTCTCCAACTCCAAATCTTTTCTTCCTCTTTTCTTCTTTCTCTTTCCTCCAACTCCAAATGTTTCTTCTTTCTTCTTGCCTCCTCACTCCAAATGTTTCTTCTTCTCTTTCTTCTTTCTCTTGCCTCCAACTCCAAATGTTTCTTCTTCCTCTTTTCTTCTTTTCTTCCTCTCCAAATGTTTCTTCTTCCTCTTTCTCCAACTCCAAATGTTTCTTCTTTCTCTTGCCTCCAACTCCAAATGTTTCTTCTTCCTCTTTCTTCTTTCTCTTTCCTCCAACTTTTTCTTCTTCCTCTTTCTTCTCTCTCTTCCCAACTCCAACTTCTTTCAAACTCCAAATTTCTTCTCTCCTCTCTCTTCTTTCTCTTTCCTCCAACTCCAAATTTTTCTTCTTTCTCTTTCTTCTCTCTCTTTCCTCCAACTCCAAATGTTTCTTCTTCCTCTTTCTTCTCTCTCTTTCCTCCAACACCAAATGTTTCTTCTTCCTCTTTCTTCTCTCTCTTTCCTCCAACTCCAAATGTTTATTCTTTCACTTGCCTCTAACTCCAAATGTTTCTTCTTCCTCTTTCTTCATTCTCTTTCCTCCAACTCAAACTTCCAAATTTTTCTTCTTTTTCTTTGCCTCTAACTCCAAATCCTCTTTTTCTTCTCTCTCCAACTCCAAATTTTCTCTTTCTTCTTTCTCTTTCCTCCAACTCCAAATGTTTCTTCTTTCTCTTGCCTCCAACTCCAAATGTTTCTTCTTCCTCTTTCTTCTCTCTCTTTCCTCCAACTCCAAATGTTTCTTCATTCTCTTGCCTCCAACTCCAAATGTTTCTTCTTCCTCTTTCTTCTTTCTCTTTCCTCCAACACCAAATGTGTCTTCTTTCTCTTGCCTCCAACTCCAAATGTTTCTTCTTCCTCTTTCTTCTCTCTCTTTCCTCCAACTCAAAATGATTCTTCTTTCTCTTGCCTCCAACTCCAAATGTTTCTTCTTCCTCTTTCTTCTCTCTCTTACCTCCAACTCAAAATGTTTCTTCTTTCTCTTGCCTCCAACTCCAAACGTTTCTTCTTCCTCTTTCTTCTTTCTCTTTCCTCCAACTCCAAATGTTCTTTTCCTCTTTCTTCTCTCTCTTTCCTCCAACTCCAAATGATTCTTCTTTCTCTTTCCTCCAACTCCTTCTTCCAACTCCAACTCAAAATGTTTCTTCTTTCTCTTGCCTCCAACTCCAAACGTTTCTTCTTCCTCTTTCTTCTTTCTCTTTCCTCCAACTCCAAATGTTTCTTCTTCCTCTTTCTTCTCTCTCTTTCCTCCAACTCCAAATGTTTCTTCTTTCTCTTGCCTCCAACTCCAAATGTTTCTTCTTCCTCTTTCTTCTCTCTCTTTCCTCCAACTCAAAATGTTTCTTCTTTCTCTTTCTTCTCTCTCTTTCCTCCAACACCAAATGTTTCT